ATCTTTATAGCTAATTTTATAATTTTTATTATACTTTTTTAATTAGGAAACACAACTTGTGTAGATCCCATGTTAGCACAAATACAAGGAATTACTGGGTTTAGAAAACAATACTTCCTATCCAATAGAAAAACAACATTTTAAAAAAACAGTACAGACGTGACTAAATTAGTTCTAAAACCTTCTTATTTGTTTATTCCCATGTTCCCATGATAGCACAACCAGAATTGCGTGAATGTGCGTAAATACAAGTGTATTTTTCATCATAAAAAACTAAGATGCACTGAAATCTATCGAAACTAGGTTTTAAGGTAATTGTTGTTTTTAAATACTTCCTCTCAATAAATTTTAGCATAAATAGTACCAGTTCAAAAGTATCCAGTCAAAAAGTATCCATACTTCGGCACACAATCAAAGTTTAATGACGAGCCAGGACAAAGCTGAGCAGAAATAGACAACTGGTGAAAACAGCTCTGATGGGTTTGTGGTTCCTGGCAGCCAAAACAAGTGTGAACTGCGACAGAACTGTTTCTCAAAATTTACATTCATCAAGTCAACACGGAGGCACCAAAACAAGATTTTTAAAACAATCTTAGACTAAGAGAGCATTAAAAAAAGTTTTACTTTAACTAAAAACTCTGTGTGTGGATGACAAGTGCAAATGCAGTATTTAAAGTTCATTTGATGAATTTTTCATGTTATGTGGACAGAACCTACTGTAGATCACCTGCAACTGTGCTGCCTCATACAAACACATTCTTACCACTGAACACAGGCAAGAACATGGCATGAGGATATGAAATAAGCATAAATTATTCTAAATCTGCTTAAAATAAGTAAGAAATATAAACATAAATTCATGCAATAAAACAAGTTCATATGACTAATAAAACATTAAGTTTTAAGTTAAAATAAATCTCCCTCATTATGGTGCATCAACTTTAATTACTTATGTCTGTCATTTTTCTTACTGCTGTAACTGGGCCACAAACTGTTTATGTATTAACAGAACAGGAACAGACACAATGTTTATCTAAAAACTTGCCCTAAAACGTGCCATAAACGCGTTTCTTTGTATTCTCCTCTTCCTTTGTTTGCATTCACATAAGTGACCTTTGCACAGCCGAACTACAGACCCTCACTTTACACACCACGGGTAGCTGAGCAAACACACACACAAACAATAATGCGCAGTAAGCAGCAGCAAAGACGGCGAGAGTCACGTTTCGACGTAGTTCTTGATCACACTGCAGTTATTCAAGATCAATCCCCTTCTTCCTCCTTTTTATCTCATCACATCACATTTCTTCACACGTCGACATGCCTTCCCGAATGGATCAGAGACTCAACAACTCCTAAAGGCTCTTATCACTTATGGACAAAGGAGAGCCACAGCAGCAGCAGTAGCAGTGGCAGCAGCTCATGTTTGAGTTACTGTAGCTGAATTATGAAAGAGGGGAAAAGGTGCCTTTATTGATTATTTCCTTGTTTCCTTTCTTAAACAACAGGACATAAGAGATACGTAGCTTAAATGGTTAATGGTAATGATATTGGAAAAACACCCTCCAGCAGGAATAAGAGCTGCAGTAGTGGTGAACTGTATGTGTGTTGTGTTTTTTGTGGTTACTGCTGACGGGTGTACCCACTCCAACAGATGACTGCAGATTTTTTTTTCAGAAAGGTTGGGAAAATAAATCTAAAACGGGACAGAGGAAGTCACTGTTATTTCTCTGTCTTCTTATCTGATAGCTGTCATATAAGACCACAGCATTAGTTTGCTGTGAGGGATGATGGGAGTATTGTTTCGAGGTTTTCTCAGCTTAGTGTTCTGCAGGAGAATCAAGAGGTCTCGTTGAGCCTGTGGCGTCAAAAGCTAAGCCCTGCTGCCGTAACTGTGATCTGCAAATCTGAGTTCCATATGTTAATGTTTGACATTTCCACGGCAAAAATCTAACAGCTTCACAAAGGATGAAAAATATGCGATCTGAAAAAAAAAAACATTTATGTAACACAGACCTGAACTTGTCTCTATGGCTGATGAAACCACCCTTTTATTACTCATACTCGAATAAACGCCCGTCCATGCCGTCTTTTGATTCTATTTTTAAAAGTTTCTTAATTGGATAGAATGAATAATATTGGAGTCTTTTCCTTCCTCTTTCCTAGCCTGGGGGACAGATACCAGACCTCTTCTCATTCTGTCTGGAATTTCAAAGTGGGGGGGGGGTGCTTTAAAAGATTCATAAGCTTCTAATGAGGTTACACAGCACATTTCAAAGTAAGGAAATGCTGTAACAATGCAAGTGAGTGTGTGTGTGTGTGTGTGTGTGTGTGTGTGTGTGTGTGTGTGTGT